GTGAGCTGAGCATGAGCCAGGAGCCCAGGAAAAAATCCCAGGTTTAAGCGCACTCATTCAAAGCATTCCTGTTACCACAACTTAAATGTCACTTGATTGTTTCAGAGACTATTTTTTATCTATTTATAATAAATATCTATTTATTATAATGTATATTATATACATATATATAATATATATAATACTATAAATAAATATTTGTAATAAATAATATGAAATATTAAATTTTATAATAGATAATTTTATACTAGATATATTTATTATAAACATGTAATTCTATATTTATTTACTTAATAACAAATAAATATTTATTTATTTGGCAAAATCAGTAGTGAAAAGAAACGTGAATGGTTATAAGCTGTGTATGTTTTTGTAAAAAAATAAAATATATTATATATAAAAATATATACGAAATATATATCATAAATATAAAAATACATATATTTTATATAAAATATATATCATATATATTTTATATATATAAATATATTTTATATAGTTTTATATATAAAATATATAGAATACATATTATATATATAATATATATTTATATAAAATATATATATCTTATGTATATTTTATATATATATACACTGACTGCTGTCAGACTGAATCTCCTTTTTTCTCAGCCAATAACATTACATGTACCAGCTCCACTTTTCAGTAAATGCCAAATGAGTTCATATTTTGCTAATTCCAAATATCACACACCTCACATGAAACAAAAATCCAGGCTGCTGCAAATCAAGCCCATGATTTCCCACTAATCTCAGGGGGAGGTTATAAAGCTCATTAAATGTAGGATGGTTTCCCCAAGAAAAGAAAAGGAAAATAAAAAAACATTAAACCAAGATCCTCTCTTGTCAAGGTGAGTAGCCTAAAAAGATTCTAACAATGTAAAGTTTCATCACAGCTGAAAGCCTTTCCTTCTATGATCAAAAAGCTGTGGTTTTATTTTTTTATCATTATATTCTGATTTTCAAGCAAAAATTTTAACCAGATTTCTGATTTTAAGGAAGTTGCAGTATTAAAGTTTAAAATTATTTAAAATTCTGTCACTGTGCCCTACTTGGAAATTTCAGCTTTTTATATATATAAATATAAAAGTATAAATATATATACGTATATATGTATAGATATATAATATATATCTATATATTTACATACAGACATTTACATACTTTATTCAACCAGACACATATTTCTACCAATATAAAACTATGCTTGTACTCTTCAAAATAAGAATATTCTCATGGGGGATTGCTCTAGTGCAGAAAAGGCAGTAAAATTATATAGTTACAGCTTGAAAAATGTATCTCCAGCTATGAATAAACTTATTTAGAGGACTTTTGCTCCGGCACAGAAACCCCTATTTTTCTTCACTCCCCTATTATTGAATTTAAACCATAACAAAGTGTGAACATGCAGTCAAAGTACCCCAAAAAAAGAAGCCACCACTATTCCAAAAGGCTCAGCCTACAGCTATTTTATTATTTTATCTTCACAGAACTCCCTCATCCTCAGCAGACAGGCCTGTCCAAAGGTGTATTTTCCATAATAGAAACACCAGGTTTATTTCACTCTTCTCTGGGTTTTTTTTTTTTTTCCCTGCAAGTAAATGGGCTGTTGTACCTAAATAGGAAGATTTTTCTCTTTAAAAATTAAGGAAGGAGTTTTTCACTTGGATTTGTCCCCAGGCTGCATCCTGGTATTGTTGGTACCATCGCCAGCAGCCTCAGAGTATTTTAAAAGTCTAAATGGGCTTAAAAAGCTGGTTTAGTTTAAAAATAAACAAACAAACACCAAAAAAACCCCTCAAACGTATTCTTATACACCTAAGGAGCAAGAAGCACTTTCCTCTTTAAATCACAATATTTGCCACAAAATTTGAAAGTATGAAAACTTTCAAAAGAATAATCATCAACATGAAGCACAGAGAAGCATATTATAGGTGCTATAATATTAATCACTATATTATAGTTATTTATAGCTATATTTTTAGCTATTTGTTATTATTTTGCAGCTGCCCTTAAAAGCAGGGAACTGAAGTGATGCTGTAAATTAAAACTAACAGAAAGTAAACACTAACTGGACAAAGTAATCAAATACAAGTACTTTGTAACAGTCTAAGTAACTAAAAGTTACAGTCTAAAATATAAGTTACAGTCTAACTGTGTCTAAGTAACTGAAGCCTGAGGGTGGGACCATCACTTCAAGATAAAATAATATTTAAGATTACATTCCTTTATGCAAAACAATTGTGCAGCAAAATTGCCTTTAGAATACCTGTTCAAACATTAATTAGTAGCGAAACAAAATGAAATGAAACTTAATGAAATTAAATGAAATTAAATGGTTGGACAAACTGATTCAAAAGTTACACCGACAAAACTGCTGTCGCTGCCAGCACAAGCAAAGGGAGCTGTAATAAATATTCTGTTTTTAACTGACACTATGCTTAAATAAATTGACTAAGGAGTATAAAAATACGTATAAAGATAAGAGAACTCTATCTCTGCTGACTGAACTACCTAAAAGGCACAAAATAAAAGTGGGAGAAGGAGCCCAGGACATGTGAAGTGGCAAAGTAGTGCCTTACTCACCAGATTTATGCTGGTGGTGTTCCATGGGTTCTCCTCTACTCTCTGTAAAATCAGAGTCAGGCCCGGAGCATACAGGACCTTGCAAATGGCTCAGTGTAGGCCAAGAAACCAGTTCTCACCTTTGCAGTGCATATCCATAAAGAAATTACTTCTAAAACCAAGATTTCCTTCAGCAAAGAACGCTGTCCTTAAGCCGCCCCCAGCTCCTGGTTGATGTCCTGCAGCAACAGAGTGCCCTGCTGCTCACATACAGGGCACAAAACTCAGCCCCCACGTTGCTCCACTCATTTCTCTTCATCCCATGATATTTAAAATAAATTTTTCACTAGGGAGCAAAGCCTCTTCGAACTCCCTCTTAGGAAAAACACAAGAAAAAGAAACCAGCAAACCACACAGATGCATTACTTTAAAAGACAGCAGCAAAGAAAAGCAGACTGTAAAACCAAATCAAATCAATCCTGGCAGCTGCAGCAATGTAGCACTAACAGAACCAGAACAGGGTAAAAAAAGATCATGGTTTCTTTGTTAATACTGCTTTTACCAATTTTCTGTTAAGATTTCTCACTTGATGACAGCCACTTTAAGATGAACACACAAAACTTCCATTACAATACATTAAGAAGCCAAATAAAGGCTCCATCTGAGGCTACCACATAATCCAGTCTCCCCCCAGCAATAATTCTGTTTCTCACATCACACAAACCCTCAGCACACCCAGATCTTCCCTTCCTTGCTGTCCTCCTGGTGGAGGATCCCCTCTCTCCTTTCTCAACAAGTTTTCTAAAATCTGTATTTGCTATCCAGACCTGCACCTGAACTCAGCTCCTGCACTGGGACATTTCTATCTCTGCTTCCACCACCAATCAGACTAATTCATTGCCAGTTTTTCAAAATTTTGATCTCCCTTTCATGTGCCACACCCTCTGCTGAACCAGAATTTCTGATTTTAAGAAAGTTGTAATATTTAAGTTAAAAATTATTTAAAATTCTGTCGGTACTTTGAAGTTTCAGCGTTTATTTCAGCTACAGGGTTTTTCCAAACAAGTATCTTTCACGACATCCATCAAGTCAGTATCATTTTACACTATCCTTTAGAGGAGTGCCTGGATGTTTGAGGTTTTTAAACAAAGCATGAGCAATTTTTACAGTGTTAAACACCACACTTAGTCCTAAATTCAGCTCCCGATGAAGTCAATAGCCATAGGAAGGGGTTCTTTAAAACTGCTTTCTGATTTTCTTTTGTTTGCTTTGAATTCCTTCTCTAAATAAGATTTGTACTTAACGTCAGTCAGAAGCCCAGCCTGGAGTGCAAAACACGCAACAGAAATTTGCTGGCAAAAGGTCTGAAAAGTGAATCGAGATGCGGAAATGTTTCTAAAAATCAAACTTACATCATCATCGTGGTAGCAACAAATCAAACGTAATTAATGGGAAGTTTTCCACCTTGAAAAGCGAATGCACGACAGACACTCGTCAGCATCCTTCCTAAAGTTGCCTTTAGGAACATTGTAACCACACGAAATCCTATTAGAAGGTGCTGAACTCCTACATTGTGACTCTTCCGGCAGGCTTCTACATAACAAAAATGCAATGAAGTACCATACAACTTTCCCCCCTTATTATGCAAAAGCCTTATCAAATTCAATAGTGTGACATGGTTCAAACTCCTGCCTAACAATGGCTCGCAGGATGTCCAGGGATGTCGGCTTTGTTTTAGTTTCACGTGCTTTTCAGTCTATTAATGCTAAGGAAAAAAAAAAAAAAAGAACCTTGGCATAAATAACCGATAAAGATCAAAAACCCCACTGAACAATGGGAAGGAAATTCAGAGTTGGAACCGGTGCTTTGCTGAGCGAGCAGCCCTTTGTGCCTAGGTGCCGACCCTGGGTGCCACGGCAGCCGGCAAGGAGGAGGCGAGGGAAGGAGGAACCTCCATCTCCCCTCTCTCCACGGTGTTCCCCGGGCTAGAGCTCGCAGGGAGGTGCTGGAAGGGTTCGCAGCTCCCCGGAGGAGCCGCGGGGCAGCCCCGGCTCCTTTGTGCGGCAGGTTGCGGGTGGAATGTGGAATGCGGCACACGTTCCGCTCGCCACCGCCAGGACAAAGGATTCACTGATCGGGGGGGACAATTAGTCCCAATTAGGCCTATTTCGCAGCTGAGTGTAAGCGCTGGGGGAAGGGAGCTGAAATCCTACAGCAACGCGTCCCTCAGGCGAGTGGAAGCCACATCAGTGAAGTGACAAGCTTGAGTCGCACCGAGGTGGTGGCACCTCCATCCAGGAGAGGATGGAGCTCAACTCGCACACAGCGGGGCCAAAACCCGCTAACCATTCCGCCTCTCGGCTGCCAAGGCAATTTCCCAGTTTTCCAGCCCCTCGTGGAGCAGCAGTGGATACTCACATGTGCACGTGGGGAGGCTGGAAGCGGCTCTGGTTGATGTTGTAGTGCGTGAACGCCTGCGTTGGGTTGGAGCTGTACTCATCCACCGTTATGGTAACTTTGCCTTGTGAAGGAATTCCATGAGCCATCCTTCCTCCTTATGGACATGAGCAGCTCACAGCTTGCCAAGGCCAGGGGCAGGGCAGGGCATCGTGCTCCGGGCAGATCCCGGCTCCCAGCAGCTCCGCATCAACTCCGTGACCTCTGCCGGGAGAGACAGACAGCGCACGCTGCTGTGAGCCACGAGATGTAAACACACACTGACCCACTGCTCCCAAGCTCTCCCGACTTCCATGCAGATTTCAGATCTTTTTCTATATTCCCGATGTACCCATCACCCCTCTCCACGAATTACTATTCACTTTGTTGGTTTTTTTTTTAATTACCTCATCATCCAACTCCATCATCATTAGACACATCCAAAGGATGAATGCTTAAAGTAAGGGTTTGTCTTCAGGGGGTGGGGGAAGGGGGAATAAAATATCTGTGTTGAAAGCTCCTGTTAAATACTCCCCATTTCGTATCCTTGATTTTAAATAACATCTCCTGTTAATTGCAACCACGAAAAACTCGCAAGCGGACCCAGCTCCCTGAAGGACAAAAGGCTTTCCACAAACATGCACACTTGTTTTCAAGCTGCTGTGGCTGTGGAACACGAACAGCTGAGAAACTTGCAAGAAACTCATGTAAAGAACACCAGTTACAATTGCACAGCAAAAGGCACACCCAAATACCCTCCAATCGAGGTGTTTGAGTGCCCAGAGAAAGGCGAGTATGAAGGAAATGTTAACAAGATATCCCTATTATAGCATTGAAACTGGTTTGGGCTCACTGTTAGCAGACAGCAACGATTTATCTGACTTTAGCGCGATTTTACGCATAAACATTTCTGCGTAAAATGAAAGAAACAGGCTCTTCCCTCTCTCTGCATCCCTGTCTTTGGCTTCTTCAGAGTGCTCTTAAACACACTTTGAGCTAGGCCTGGATGCGTGCTGTGGTATCAGTCAGAACCTCCCAAACACGCCCCGCTGCGTGCACAAAATCCGAGCTTGGATTTCTGCGGTGGATAACTGAGGAAACCTCAGGTTATGATATAGAAAAGCTGCCTTCCTTTCAGAGGGCATCTGTGGAAATGGATCAGCCCGTGGTCGAAGGATTCCAAGATGAGCAGCTCTGTAGAAGCCCCGTTTAGAGGCAGGTCCTCAGCTGGGACACAGCTGCAAGGACTTGGGTGAAATTTCTCCCTTCAGCTGCCACCTGCAAGAGTGGGCTTCCTCCTGTCTGGAGAGCATTTCACAAAGGTAAATCCTTGCTTACTGGGAAGACAAAAGAGATGGGAAAGAGAAGAGCCCTGAGCATCCAACCAAGCAATATTCTTCCAGTGCAACTTCCCTGGGCTTCTCTAGCTCCCAGATAGAAATGTGCTTGCCATGTGTAACGCTAAGCATTTGAAATCTTTGATTTGTATTCAAAATATATTTTTAATACAAAGACTAATTTCCAGTTTGGCAAGAGGCAAGATGAAAATGCTCCGCAAAAGGCAGATGGCCTGCTATAGGCCATTTATTTTACTATTTTACCACCTCAGGCCTATGTAGGCTTCCATATGTTGGTTGGGTTGAGACATTCTGCAACCTTCATTCTAGTAACTGGATTCTAACCTTCATTTTCTTTAGCATTGGAAGGGAAAAAAAAAAAGGCAAAAGGAAAAAATTAAAAGGAAAAAAAATACGATGAAGATGAAATGAAAAGAAAAAGCAGCAATTTCAAAACTGTCACTAGAGATGGTACAGCACTGCAACTGTGGTCACAGCCTGGTCCTCCCCTCTGAGACCTGGTGGACCTCTCTCATGAGAACAAGGTTTCAGCAGCAGAAAGGGTGAGCTCTGCTGGAACACATCTTTGCTGTGCTAGATGCGGCAGAAGATGCTGCAAGAACTGCTCACACAAAGTAGTGGTTACCACGCCAAGTTTGCAGCTGTCTCCTGAATTTCCTTTACAATTATACTTCAGCGTTGTTTTGCATAACAGTAAAACACAACACCTGCTTCAAACTGCAGTCCTGTTCCAAGCGCTGCAGCTCTTTTGAGATAGAAACTACGAGGAGTGAGCAAGAGCAGAGCAGAGCAGCATAATTGCCCTTACTGAGAAGTAAATACAAATGAAAACATCTTCCTGCCACAGAAATGACTGTCATTAACAAGACAGGCCATCAGAGCTCCCAGAACAAAAAATACAGAGTTTTTCTTGTATGCTGCAAGAACTTTGGAGCCTTCATATGTTAAGAAGTAGTGTGAAAATTACATGCATAATGTTATTTTTTTTCCTGCAATTAAAAGCAACAATACAAAACAATGCATTAAACCAACAATAAAAATATGCTTGGGCTTTCAAAAGAGCTAAATGACACTGTTTTCAACAATCCAGCATAAGAAAGGTCAGAACATTAAATTTCATATTATAGTTCACTCATGGAAGAAAAATCTAATTTGTTCATGAGAATGAATTATACATAAAGATAATAGGCATTTTTTACAATGTTTGTAACAGTCCATGTTACTGAAAGAAATTACAACTAACTGGCATAAAACAAATGACAAGAGGGCACTTAAAAAGCTGCATTAAATACTTTTAAGTTGACTCTCAGTCAGATTATAAGTGTACAAACAGCAATTGCTTCCCATTGTTCTAATCTTTAATCTTAAAAATAAATCTGTACTTAAATTGAGACAAAGCTGAACAAAGCATACTTTAAAAATGAAATTCAACAACATGCCAGACTGGGAGTAAAAAAAATACATAATTTGAAGCTGGCTTCTGTGTCAATTCTCTTAATTTCCATTTAATACTCCATAGAGTACTACAGCTCAACTATCAGAAGTATCTAATTATTACCTTCTTTACTGTGAACGTCTCTGAAGAAAATAGAAGAAAGAAGCTGAACACTTCAAAACTTTAAAACAAACGCATCTTAGGTCCAAAATTAAAAAAAAAAAAAAAGAAATTAAAAGAGACTTCTTCGAATCGCTACCATTCTTCTTTCTCCAACTATGAGCACTACTTGAAGGTTACACATGGGAGATGAGTACAAAAAAATAAAAGTTGGATTATCTTCCCATCTATCAAGGAAAAAACAACGCGTGATCTCTTCTGCACCTTTTGAGGCAGTTTTGAGTAAGAATGTCTATATTAAAGACCCAAGTGATGCTTTTTCAGCACGCTGCCTTTTCCCAGCTACAGGCTGCTCTCCTTTCGCAGCGTGTATTTGCACAAGACAGGAGATGTGCCATTGTACACTCTGCCCAGCCTTACAGGTACAAACCGGCGCTTTTTCGGAGCAGGGCTGGCCCAAACGAGAGCTCAGCTAATTGCAAACCCTGTCGAAAAACTGCCACGAAATCTGCCCAGCTAGGTGAATTTCAACGCAGCCTTACATCGCACAGAGAGCGGCTCACACGAAGGCACGCGAAAAAACCATTTCCCCAAATAAAATATTTACGCCTCCCTCATCTGAATTTCAAAAATCCGCCTCTAGCTGGGCTCGGGCTGAAAGGCAGGAGCCGGGAAGGGTTAACCCCGTGTCAACACCTTGTGGTGCTCGGTGCGCTCTCCGGGCGCTGTTCCACCGACACGGCACCG